TATATATATATATATATATATATATATATATATATATATATATATATATATATATATATTTTTTTTTTTAAGCACTTTTTGTTATCCAATTATTATGTTAATCTAAAAAAAAATCAACAGATTATCTCTACATTTTATTAACGTTCAGTCCAACAGAAAGCCCTGAGCTTTTGACATGATGATATTAGTATTATTAGCCACAGATGCATCCTTTGCTACAAACAGGCATACCGTAAAGCAATGGGCAGTAAGATGTTTAATTTGTTATTTAAAATAGAAATTTAATTGCTTATTTGTCTCTTTTAATGTATTTCTAATGTTTTATAAAATAAGCTGAAATTATAATTATTTGTTGTCCTAGTTTCATGTTAGTCTTAATTGGAAGCCGTAAAATTTTAAATATGCTCAAACGTTTTATCATATTTCTCAAATTTTTTTTTTTTTTTTTGCTTCTTCTAGCAACAAATTTGACTTTTTTTTTCTTCTTTTTCTCAGGAAGTTACCTTTGTTTGCTTTGGTTTTGGTTGCCCGTGGAGAAAGAAATGGCTTCTCTTTTAGCCTTTCGCTTAAAGCAGCGAGAGAAATCATTGCACACTATGAGAATCCGTTGTCCTGCAGTCTGTATGCACTGTACTCAGACCTTTAGTATGTACTGTGTAACGCTGACCTTTGTGTTTGAGCTTAAAATTCCTGTCCCAGACCCAGCCTCACTTTCCTTCAAATCTCCTGGCTACCTTTAGCCTTCTTTCCATCCTCCACTCCTTGTTTCTTTTCCACACAGCCGTGGATGCTACGGTGTGGGAGAGGGGGGGGGGAAGAATGCGATAACAGTAGGGAAAGGAGTAAGAGGGGGGAGAGGGAGCATTCATGCATTAAGTTATTTTTTAAATGACGGCGACAGGCTGAAGGGAGGAGGAGCAAATAGAATTGTTTCAGGACGGAGGAGAGGCGGGTTCGCCACTCTCCTGACCGCCTCACTCTCCTCAGCCATTGGTTGGGGGGGCGGGAGGGGAGCCCCTAACTCTGCTAATGGGTGACCCCTCTCTCCTTTGGTTTCCGAAGCAACCATGACAGCTGTCATCATTAAGCACGTCAAAACCTGCCAGAGTGCGTTCATCCTTCGTCCGTCCAGATCGGAGAAGCCCTTCAGGCAAACAAAAAATATCTTCAGAATGGGGTGAATCAAAAAGTCTGTTCCAAGAGAACCATTTAATCTCCACTGTATCCTCCCTTTGGGGGAAATTGTGACTCCTGCATGTTTTAAAATAAAACATGGCTGGTGGGAGCCAAAGAGAAAACAAAGCAGAGGAGTGAAGGCGTTAATTGCGTCATAAGAAGCCACTGGATTCAATTAAAGTACTGATAGGAGAAACTGAGCCTGTTTGTGCTCTGTGAGCGTCTGCTTGTCAGCAGCCGAGCATCTGAAATATGAAGTGTTGCAGATCGCTGGCGGGTTTGTGGAAGAGCTACAGCTTTGGTGGCTCATGAAGAATGTGCATGGGTAAAAGGAAACAGGTGTTTGGGCTTTTTAGCTCAGCTCTGGCAGAGGAGCATTTTATGTTTAAGTAATGCGTAATAAAGCATTCAAATGTGACGTTTGCTCAAGGTATTTGTCGTTGCGGTCTGATGTAGAAGGCTTTATGGAGAGACTTTCCAGTTTCAATTTACGGGACAAAACTGTAAATTTGGTTCTGTGACTGACGAAAATCCCGGTTATTTCAGGAAAATATGCAGTCAAAAACGAAAACAAGTTGAGGTGACTGACCTACTTAAGTGGGCCAAGAATTTAGCCCAACGTGGGTGGTGTTGTGTATAAGAATGTTTGAGGGATTCTCCTGAACTTTGAATTGTATATATTTAACTGACTGTAAATCACCAGCTGTATTTTCTTCTCTCTCATCCTACAACTGGATTCAAGTAAAAGACATTTAAACATATTTCTTGAAATGGAGACATTAAAAAAAAGGATGAAAAAGGTAACATTCCAACTCATCCAGACTTGGTTTAGACGTTAACACTAGTTTATGGTGCTTTTACGAAGGAAGAGGGGGACGTTTGAGTGCAGAGAGCTTTCCCATTGGTGGAAAACTGAACACATATCCAGGAAACGGGTTGGTTTTCCAGCTGCTGACATAATTGCAGGATGTGTCTGTCAAGATGTCAGATGAAAGCTCTGCTGTTCCTTATCCTAATGAGGAGGAGGAAGAGAAAAGAGGCAGCTTAGAGGATGGACATTCCAACAAACTTTAAATCTGGCGAACTCATCCAGTTCCTGTTAGATAAGTTTAATTATTGGTCTGTTGAAGATCACAAAGACTGGTTTTCATAATTTTCCTTCTCATATTCATGCAGGTGTTGATAAGGAAAGTTGGCTTTTTAGTCTGTGTTTGACTCCAAGATGAATTTGAACTATAACTATTTTCGTAATATCACAGGTGCAGTCCAAAGACATTTGTAGTCATCATATTAGCACATCTCTTTAAGAAGTTTTCAGTCTCATTTGTTGATAAGATCATTTCCTGTGAGGTTGCAGAAGTTCTCAAAGCCAAATGTTTATTTGTCCTTTACTTAAAAAAATACTCCAATCAGGCCACTTTGACCAATTTCCAATGCTAAATGTGTTGTAGCTTCTGTTTATTTCTGTTATAGTTATAGTTCTCTCTCTTCCCTTAGAAAATATCGCCACATCTTTCTGTTTTATATTTGAATGTTTTTACTTTCGTCAGAGACATTCTATGCCAGATGTGTCCATTTTTTTGTGTGACTGTGACCCAGTAACCTTTGGATGCCATCATCTTTTTTTCAGTATGCAACAGCCCCCGCCTCCACCCTCCATCTCCACCCTGTCCCACAGACATAAATTCATAGAGACACAGACATCTCTAGAAGATCTCACCAATGTCTGAGATCTAAAACCCACACAGGAATCCTTTTCAAATCCGCTGTAATTAGGCCTGTCACGATAACAAATTTTGTTGGGCCATAAATTGTCCCAGAGATTATTGCGATAAATGATATTATTTTGAGTCCATATTCAACTAATATAGTAATAATAATAATTATTATTATTTTTATTAGAATGGTTTATTAATGCAAGTATACACACTCAAAGATAAAAATTACTTTGATTTCTAAAGAATATTTAACACTGGAACTGGAAATCCTTTTAAATATCTAAAATGAATAAAACAACTGAAACAATAAATAAATAAAATAGGCTATAAAATCTCAAAAAATAAGAATCATTCAGCTTAGAAAAGAGGCAAAATGTCAGGTGAAGCAAACCAACTACTTTGTACCGGGTGTCCAAAGTTTGCAGCATTTCTCAAAATGTTTGCCTGAATGAAAATAGTTGCTCTCATTTTACTTTATCATGCAACTGATTGATTTATTGCTTGTTGTGATGAGCTTATCTGTAATATTTTTGAGAAATCTACGTATGCCCAAGAGTGTTGCATTTGGTTACTTGACTGAAAATGGGGAAAGTTTGAAGAGTTTGTCTCAAATGTTGCTCTTGGTCTCTTATTACATCAACATTTCCAGTCCAACACTCTTTTCTACTAAAGGCGCATCTAAAAATAGTTTTTTATGAGTTCAGGATGGCCAGCTGCTGAATACCTTTTATTAATGTGCTCTAAACTTCATCCGTCTTTCCACATGCTCCTCCCGTGGACCTCGACATTCCCAACATCACCAGGAATCAGTCCAAGGTAACGGCGCACACCAACACACAGGCGTTTCTCGCCCGATTCCAGTGTTGTGAATCATCTCTGTGTCTAACAAAGGCACCGCTGTTCAGCTTCTGCTAGGTTCAAGAGCTGTGTGGAGCCATACAGGCAATGAAACAAAAAAGAAAGGGAAAGAAAAAAAGAAGCAGTTTTAAAGTGGCTGTTTTTTTTTTTTTTTACTTTGAAACGTTGAGCGTTGCTGGCTGCTTCACATCACAGCATGTCGGTGTTTCCAGGATTTATGTTTTTTTTCCCCCTCATTCAGCAGAAATATTGGTGCATTGCTTTGCAGCATGACACATGAAGCACACCCAGATGATGCTACTGAAAGATTTCCTGAAATGAAATGAAAGTCATAGCATTTTTTTTTTTATATCAGCTTAAGTTGAACTGAAGCAAATATCATTATTGGTAAAACACAATTATAACTAAGTTACATATAAATGATGTTGCTAAGAATCTATATTTAAAGGGTGCAGTATTATATAAAAATGTTTTTGACCTTTACATCATGTTTTAATGCTATTCCCTCATCAACAACATAACTGGAGTGCTGCTTTTGTTCATGCATGTTTGATGAGTCCTTTAAACTCCGTTCCGCCGTGCAAAACACCTGGTTGGACCTAGCTCCGCCTTCAAGGCACAGCTCCTCCTCGGAGATGCAGTTTCCAAGCTTCCGTCTCACAGAGTAGTCACTCCCTCTTGACTCCCCTACTCAGCTCCTTCAGACTAGCCAGCAGCAATTAGCAAACAGCTTGTGGAACTGCACATTGGCTGAGTTCATTATAGGAGCTACTTCTCAGTGCAACGCTAGTTAAAATATTGTTAGAGTTAAAAGAGGTGTGATGTTGTGATGACTTCTTGAAGGTGGAGTTTCAGAAATAGCAGGAGCTTTTAAAGAGATAGAGGCCCAATTTCAAGGCGTTAAATCAGGAATTCAAATTTCTTTTAAGTCATATTTGATATAGACAGCAACTTTTTAATTGAAGTTAACAGTTACTTATGCTATAATACTGCCCCTTACCTATGTATAGAAATGGACTGCCAGAACAGCCTTTCTTTTCTGAACATGTCGAAGTCTTTGTTGAGTCAAAAAAATAATTCTGCAAAGGACAGAAATGAAAAAAATGTCTTTTTTTTTTTTTTTTTGGCTCTAGTGGCCTTTATTTGATAGTTAATTGACAGGAAAGTTAGTAATGAGAGATGGGGAAAGACGTGCAGTAAAGGTTGCCAGGCCAGGAATCGAACCTGCGACAGCTGCGTCGAGGACTAAGGCCTCCATACATGGGTTGTGCTTAACCCCTGCGCCACCACAGCACGAAAGTCTGTTTTAAAAGCTGAAAAGATACCACCTGATGATTAACACTCCTGTAGTTTACTTACATTTACTGTAAAGTTTTACAGAATTTTGAAAGTCATTCAGATTGAAGGTTTACCACAAAAAGTTTTGCAATTTCAAAGCACAAATCTGGTTCTCTGATAGTCACTCCCAGCCACACAATTCTAGCTACACGAAAAGCTTACCCTACAATTCAGATCGGCTTGTCTGATAGCCGGTCTTTGACTTTTGAAGTCCTCTGGGCAGCTGCCAGGTTTCTTAATGACTAATACCTCTGCTGTTTCCTCTGTTTCCTTCAGGTTTTTGCCTATGATTATTGCTTCTGGTCCATGGATGAAACGGATAAGGAAAAATTTGCAGGTCAGTTCGTTATTAGCATCTTTAAGATTTTATCACAGGAATTCACGCACTTTAATTTAAACACCTAAACGTGTGAAGTGAAGTTTGGACCCGACCTCCTTACAGGTCAGGAGGTGGTTTTCCAGTGCCTTGGGGAAAGTCTTCTCCACAACGCCTTCCAGGGCTACAACGCCTGTATATTTGCCTATGGACAAACTGGTAATTCACCAATTCTGGCTTCTACTTACACATACATATATCCGACATTACTTCACATCTTGTTTTGCATGTTGTATAAACGGTGTATGTGATGTTCTCTTGACTGATGACTTAATTTCCATTTTCTTGTCGATAAAGCAGTAGAAAAAAAAATGGCGCCAGTGACGCCTCTGCATGCCTGTAACGTTTGTTTCAGGGTCAGGGAAGTCGTACACCATGATGGGCTCAGGTGACCAGCCCGGGCTGATTCCTCGACTCTGCAGCGCTTTGTTTGAGCGAACCAAGGAGGAGCAGCAGGAGGAGGAGAGCTTTACCGTAGAGGTGTCCTACATGGAGATCTACAATGAGAAGGTCCGAGATCTGCTCGACCCGAAGGGGTAGGAAGGCCTGCCGAACGTCCAGCGCAAACTCAGTATCAGAGTTTGTGTCGTATCTGTAGTGTAGTCTCTTTGTTAAAGCTCTCATCTCCCGCTCAGTCAAATGCTTGTTTTATACAATAACACGGTCAACAGCCAAAAAAAAAAAAAATTGTCTGTGGTTTTCAACTGTTTCAGGGTCATGTTGATTAGCTGAATCCAAAAATCACATTGGTTTTGCTCAATCAGGTCAACTTTCTGAGTTATAGATACAAAATGAGCATCAAAATGCAGGACTTGTTCTCACATCTGGATCGGTTTCCTGAGAATCTGATCAATGAGCGAAGAGCAGGAGGAGAGATTCCATCAGGACAGAAAAGAGACGGAGGATTTTACACAATGAAGACGTAATGTTCAATTTACACGTATTTACCCTTGTCAGTGTTTATTATTCAATTAGCAGAAATCCAAGTTTGTAGCATTTAATTAATACACTTTTAGAATTTTTTTTTCTCCTAAAGGCTTTTTTGGATGAGAATTATTAACTGAAGAGAACTGATAATGTCACAAAAATGCCATCAATTTAGTCAGAAGATCAAATTAGAATAAAACCTGATTGAGAAAAATTTTGTCATTTTTGGATTCAGCAGTGCAAAATAGTCCTAATTATTTGAAAAAACATAAACAACTTATAATTTTTTTTTTCGTAACTGAAAATTCACTCATTTTTTGTAAGTTTTGTGCAGCCATGTAGTCCTGTATTTCCTTCATTTTTGACCAATCACTGCATGTTGTTCAACCTCCTACTTCATGTCTCTTGAAAGCCAAACCTACAAGATGAAAGCATGTGTGATGCTAAGCAGTAACATTTGCCCCCCCTTTTTTTTTTTTGCTAAAACCATTTTGACGCGGTCTATATTTGTGGGACATTTTACCCGTTCTTATTGTATCTGTGGCTTCTGTCCCTCAACTGTTGATCCGTTGTTAAGATGTAGTAACATGATTATTTCTTCCTGAGCCATCTTTAATGCACCGCGAGCGTACACATGCTGTCGCCCCGGTTACACCTTCGAATCTGATCATCAAAGGGAGACCCGCTGCTTAGCGGAGCTTTTCGTTCTGCGTTATGTTTAGCAGCTAGCCAGAGTCAGAAGCCAAAAAAAACGCTTTCGTTTTTTTTCTTCCAAACAAACCGAGCAAGTTAAGTAGTGCTGCTGCATTCACATAATGGCAGCTAAATAATTAGAAAATCCATCCCAATATACCATATTAAGCTTGTCGATAAGAGTACTAATGTTATCTATTTTACATTCTCTGTTAGTTAGTAAATGCTTGGAATAAACTCGGTTCTCTTTAGTTTCTGGCCTAAATCAGGGCTTCAGGCCACCCGTTCTGTTTTGCTGTATAGAAGTTGTGCTCATGATTCTTTTCCATATATTTTAAATAAATCTTTGTCACAATAGAAAGAGCAGAGCCAAAAATGAAGTTGAAAAAATTTTGCAACTTTTTGAAAAAGGCTCCTCAAAATCAGAAATTTAAGGCCACAACAATCAAAGCACACCGCAACATCCTGCAGGGACTGAATAACTTTTTTGTTCTTTCCATTGCTTGGCTTTAAAGCTCCTGTCTTCGTTTTTTATTTTCTTGCAGTTGATTAATATTCAGTCATCTTTACCAAACCTATTGAAGCGGTGGCCAAAAACACTTAAAGTTTATCGGCTAACCTGTAGTAAAGTTGTAATTATTTCAAACTCGTTGAGCTGATAAATCAGAGGAGGTTGCAGTGTGACGGCTGCAGTGGTCAGCAGATAAAAAGATTAGCAGCCTGCTCTGCAGCCACCAATAGAGGCCAGTTTATGTCCAGCAGGTCAGCAGTAAATCAGGGCTTCAGGCCACCGTCTGCTGCCCCAGACACCATAACCTCTGACCCTCCCTCTGTACAAGACCTTTAACCTTGGTAAAGTGACCCAGAATGAAGCTCGCCATCTGACAGCCATATGCGCCTCGGCCGCAGATCCGCAAATGATGAAGTTGTCGGGAGCGTGGCAGAATTGGGGTCAGAGAGCCGTGTGCCGGTGAAACCTGCGAGCCGAGTTCAGTGACCATCAGGAAGAGCCGGGCTGGCGCCGTTACCCCTCCGCTAACACAAAGCACCAAGAGCGAACGCCAGCAGTGACCATGTTATCAGTCTGTCTCTTCACCCTGTTCTGTTCTGTTTTGTGTTCAGGGGCCGACAGACGCTGAGGGTGAGGGAGCACAAAGTTTTGGGTCCCTACGTCGACGGCCTGTCACGCCTAGCCGTAGCTAGCTACAAGGTAAAGTTGTGGGTCACTCATTCTTCTCCGCCAGGCTTATTGACTTTTATCTTCTACATTTACTGTCGGTGATCACATTTCCTTCTTGAGGTTTCAGATTCCCAAAGATGCTTGGCTGCATTTTCACTCTTGCAATTCCTCTGCTGCCTTGATTTGCATTCAAGTTGAGTTCAGCGTGTTTAAACTGGTTTTCTCATCCAACTGGAGTCGGTTAATTGCTTTCTTGTAGCTAGTTCTGCTGGTTTACCTTGAAAACCCCCAGGGCTCCAATTCAAACTCTTACCAAGTATTTCTGGTCTCGTTTCTAGTGCAAATATCTTAGACCACTTGAAATCAGACAAAACTAACTCACATGTAACTTTTAAGCCAGAAATAAGAATATGTTTTAAGTCAATAATTCCTTGATATTGATGAAAAAGTGCTAGTTCCACTGGCAGATTATTTCACTTATAACATGGGAAACATGTCTTGTTATGAGTAAAATAATCTGCCAATGGAACTAGCATGTTTTCATCAATATTAAGGAATAGTGGACTTAAACAAGCTCGGATATCTTGCTGTAAGTTAGTTTTATCTTATTTCAAGTGCACCAAGATATTTGCATTAGAAACTAGACCAAAAATACTTTGTAAGATTGTTTTTAGAGGTTTGACACTGCAAAACACAAAGATGAAGCTTTGACATCCTTAAGGGAGAGCATTACACTGAATCCTCCAGGCTCTAATGAGCCACACTAAGCACAACATCCTGAGATAATTACTAAGGTAATTTCTCAACCCACGCATAAGAGCTGAACTAATACTGAGGGATGAAATCTTATCAAGCTAGCAGTGCCTTTTATTGTGCTGTTTGCTTTCCTTTGCCACTTTTTGACTATGAATTTTGCCTTTAAACCCAGAACTTTTTCCTTTCTTTTTAGTGATCCAAATCCTCTTCAGTACATATTAGCCATGTGAGGACAAAACTTCCTGAGAAACTTGTTCTTCTGCTTTAGAAACTTTGCACTTTCCTTTATAGGTCAATTTAATGATCAGTGTTTCGGTTGCTTTCTGCGCAACTTTTCTGGGACAGCTGGGGAAATCCAAGCCATATGATCCAAGTTCTATGTGCAGATTATGTCACATGACATGGACACACAGATATGAAGAAGTGACTCTAGACTGTGGGGAAAAAAAGAGAATCTAAATTAATCAGATGAATAACGTGGGCAGCTTTTAAAAACAGTTTTGCAGGGGATGCACATGAAAAGAGACAGTTTTTTTTAATGTATTTAATTTATTAACAGCAGGTTTTAACCAGTAGGATAAGAGAAAACATGCCCATACATAACTTGGAACAAAGTAATTATCTTCCCACTACTTTTCTATTTGAAAGGGAATAGGAAGAAGCAAAACTTATTTATTCCTACCCCTTATCTCAATTTAATGAAATATGTTACTTACTGACTCAATAATTATCAGAAATTTGTAATTAAAATCATTTAATGAAAAAACTGCTAGTGATGTTAGGAAAGCAGGTCAGCTCTACAGAGTAGAGACTCCTGCTCTACTCTGCAGTGATGAATGAGACTTCAGGCAGACTGTCACTCTTGAAACTTAGTTTGACAGCAAAAGTGGCCCCTGACAACTTTCCCTTCGTCTGTAGAATGACAGAATAAACCAGAACCTGTGTGCCAGCTTTCGTGATCAAGAGCTAACATACACACACAGAAAATGTAATAGCTTTACAGATCTAAGCGTAAAGTTTGTATAATTCTTTGCTGACATCTTTAATGAATTTATTTGTGTCATCAGGACATCGAGTCTCTGATGTCAGAGGGGAATAAATCTCGGACGGTCGCTGCCACAAACATGAACGAGGAGAGCAGTCGATCGCACGCTGTCTTCAACATCATCCTCACACACACACTCAAGGACCTGAAGTCTGGGGTAAGATAAAATCACACACACATAGACCTGAGCAAGAAAAACCGTTAATGGATGAATTATCCTGGAAATTTTAGTTTTGGATGAGAAAACATAGGATTTAAATCAGAGTGTGAAGTTATGATCAGGAGTCACAATCTGTGGATGTAACGGATCTTAAGAGACTCTTAACTTAAACCGTGATCAACCGATGTTACCCTGCATCATGTGTTCATCACCTTTTTATTCAGGCGGTGTCCTCTCAGTTCCTGGTTTCACGAAATTAAGAATCTGCAACAAGAAAGAACACTTTACAGAGTTTCTCCGTCCAGTCTGACTGAGCTCGACCTGCTTTGTAAAGATGGGTTGGTAAAAAGTCAGTTTTAATGTCCAAACTGGTAGTCATATCCTGAGAAATGTAATTTAAGGGAGTATCAGCTGTGTGAAGTATCGAGTCAGAGGTGCTAAATATAAATGCTTATATCTGAGTGAAGTTGACCCCCCACCCCTCCTCCTTTAAATCAAACTGAATAAATGGCAGGCGTTTGTGCAGCAAAACATTTTGTTTGTGCCACAATCATTTTAAAGATATCAGTAATTATTTCCTGGGGGTGCAGGTTGCTCCCTGGTGACCCCTGGAAACCTTTCTCCTTTTTAATTATAAAAAATTATAACAACAAAACGCAAATTTTTTTTCTGCTCAAACGACTGATGCCACATTTTGTTTTATTTAGTAATTGTGGACTGACAAGTTGACCTTTGATGACCTCTAGAAACATTTATTAATATCTTCAAAACGACAGCGGCACAAAAAAAAAAAAAAAAAAAACATTTGACAGCAATTTCTTTCAAAATGAAAACACACCGAGGTTTTTTGTAAAATTAAAAAAGGTGGAGGAGTTCACATGGTGCTTTTTCTTCAGAAAGCCCTCAGATGCAGCAGCCATTACTGAAAGTAGGATTAGGAATTCAAATAATCCAATCCGCCGCCCTCTGGGATGAGGGTGAAGGTAGTTACCGAACGTGGTGGCGTCAGCCCCAACGTCGAGTCTGTCAGAGGAAAGACCTCAGTGACTCATTCCTCCTTTCCTCACTGACCCACTTTACTCCTCGCTCTTATTTCTGGCTCCCACCAAACCCTGTTAATAATTCACAGTCATGACTGCGAGTTTGTCAGCTGATACAGCCTCCTTTGTTTTCAGCGTGCGCACACGCAGTCATTCACCAAGTTGGTCACTCATCAAGCGAGTGAGTCACTTTGCTAGCTCATAAATCTTATTAAAACCATATTTGCTGCTTTTGAGGCTAGAGAAAAAAACACATTTTTAGCTTGCATTAATGCAGCAGAAACAAAATTTTCCACCCTGATTTGTCGCTTGACAAACATGATACCTCACTTCCTTTTAATCTAACAGGTCATCGGTGCTCATGTGCGCAGCACTGCAGAAGGCTGTCGTTGAAGTTGCACATTTAAAGTCGTAACGGTTAAGAGGTAGTAAAGACCCACAACTGCTGAGTGAGTCATTCCACGAAACATCATTAGTTTCATTCAGGAAAACACTCTGTACTCTTGTTTGCACCTTGAACTTACTTACAACTTTTTTGGTTGTTTGCTGTTCAGATTGCTGATGAATGCAATGTGTGTTTTGTTACTTTTATCTCGACTGTGTTGATCTGTTTTGGCTCCTTTTTAAAACTGCAGCCAAGTAGTTTGACACATTGTCGCTACACATCCTGCCTCCTGATCTGGTTATCATCCAGTCTGGTTACAGAGTTTCTAATCATGCAAACAAAACACCACATTGAAGATTCTCGCCACCTCATCATTATATCACTTGCGTAATCATGCGTCTAGATCTGAACCAAAAACTGTTGGTTGCAGTAAGCAGCTACTCCAATATGTTCCCTCTTAAGTTTTCACAACTTCAGTTCCTTTTGTATCCTTTTTTCCCCTCATTTATCCAGATGATAAAATCTCCCTTGTTCAACAGTGAGTTTTCCTCTGGGAATGCGAAGGCGTACCCGTTTGCGGCTGATCTGTATCACGGCACCCTGGGCTGCCAGCTCTATATCTCCCATCTTTTCCGTTGTGTCCTTTCAGGAGTTGTGTTGTGTGTAAAACTTTTCAGTGTGATGCTAGATGAAAAGCGAACTATAATGTTTAAGATAAAAGGAACGCATAACCTTGGAAATCCCTCACACAAACCTCACAAAGCAGTGGCGAACATGTGTTTTTTTACGTCGACATGACTCAGTGTAAGACAGTGTGCTTTAACGCCCTGAGCTTCCTGGGATAAAGTAAAGTGGTTGGTCAGAGCCACATCCGTGGCAATGGGCTGACATCAGCAGTTGGTGAGGTGTTGGATTCAACCTCGTCAGCTGCTGAGCAGTCACAGATGGAGACCTGATATCCTCTTCTTTGACGGTCCTCAGAAAAACGCAGAGGGAAGCTTTACATCAGCGGCCGAGAGATGAGGACAGTACTTATACCTGCCTGCTAGATTTACAAGTGGGAGGAAAATGGAGGGGAAAAAAGCCTTTTCAGCAAGAGTTTGATGGTTCTTTCTCTAAATATGATGTCTGAGGAGAACACAGCTTGTTTGCATTCCACAATAAACGTTTACTGTCTGGTACTGAAGCGGTACTAAGGCTACGTTAATGCAGGAGGGAAATGCGACCCAAATCTGTTTTTCTTTTCTTTTTTTCCCCCTCTTTTGCCCATATGTGACCCATATCCGATTTGTTTTTTGTTTTTTCACGGCAGACTAAACGGCTCAATTCTGATCTTTTCACCCCCCAAAACATCTGATTTGTGCCACTTGCATATGTGTATCTGATTGTTTTCAAAGTGCCTGCAGTCTGAACAGTCATGTCCCATGTAATCCGACTTACACGTCATTGGCGTGAGGTGTGCATCATAATTCTGCACCACAAGTAAACAATGGCTGAAAAAAAATCATAATTAGGAAACTGTGAAAGAAGTTGGTCACTGAAGCACATCGCAGTCCCACCGCTGTTGGTTCTGACTACGCATCCAGACAGACTTCTCTACAGAAGTTGCAGTCATACTCCACAAAACGCCACTGCTACTAGTTGAAGCCTTTTTTTTTCTTTGGTTTTCTTCATCTTTTAATGATTGTGTGATGATTCCGACAGCTTCTCATTGCTGAATAAACTTTAAAAATCTATCCGTACATCTGTTATTACTTCCTTAAAGAGTGCGCTGCTGTGTGACTTTTATGTTCTTCTTCTGCACATTTGGGTCATTGAGGGGCCAGAAGTCTGATTGTAGTCACATCATTAAGCAAACACACACACAAAAAAAGAAAAAAAGAAAATGGATTTCAGCCAAACGTTGGAATTGAGCCTCATGACCTGCTGTGAACTTAGCCTAAGAAACAAAGGTGAACGGGTGGATAAAATTAAAGATGTTTATGTCTTTGTTTATTCTGTAATAGACGAGTGGGGAGAAGGTGAGTCGTTTAAGTCTGGTTGACCTGGCTGGAAGTGAACGTGCAGCAAAAACTGGAGCAGCAGGAGAGCGACTGAAGGAGGGAAGCAACATCAACAAGTAGGCAAAGCTCTTAGCAGAAACCTGCAACGTGTTTTCACATGAGCCACATTTACTTCTGGAGCTGAAATCCATAAGATAAAGTAGCAAGGGCAATGGGCATGTAATGATCAGTTCACCTACTGCAAGGTATCAAAGCCTCGTTAAAAAGTCATAAATTCATGTATCTAAATTTAAGGGCTTAAAATGGCTTAAATTTATATAAAAAGTAAGTTGGCATTAAATACGTTGATCACAGGTCTTAAATTTTGTCTTGGCAGGGCTTTTTAATCTAATATATTCTTTTTTTTTTTTCTCATTGGGCTTTTGAGGCTACCGGTAGCTCACTGCTAGCATACCCTTGCTTGTTAGCTAGCTAGCTTTTTTGTGTTTTATAGTGGATAAATATAGTTGGAGATGATAAAAGTTTTCTCGTCAATGGCTAATTGCCATTTAGCTGGACGAAGTTCATACATTTATGTTCAGATGCAGGTCGTCGGGTCCATTCAAAAGGGTCTTGAAAAGTCTTAAGTTGGAGTTGATGCAACCTGCAGAAACCTTTTACTGCATAGATAATCTATATCAATATCCAGCCAGCAGCAGGTGCGTAATGAGAAGCTAACGGTCGCTAACCCTAGTATGTGTGTATTGTTTGGTGCAGGTCCCTTACTACACTTGGTCTGGTCATTTCTGCTCTAGCTGAACAGGGAACGGCCAAGAACAAGACCAAGTTCGTTCCCTACAGAGACTCTGTTCTGACTTGGCTGCTGAAGGTAAACAACGCTTTTGAACTATTTGAGCATGCGTTTGAATTTTCCACCGTTTCGACACTTCGTCTGTTTGTATTGCTTTTCCAGGACTGCCTGGGAGGCAACAGTCGCACAGCCATGGTGGCAACGGTGAGCCCGGCAGCGGACAACTACGAGGAAACCCTGTCGACGCTGCGCTACGCCGACCGAGCCAAGAACATCGTTAACCACGCTGTCGTCAATGAAGACCCCAACGCACGCATCATCAGGGAGCTACGGGAAGAAGTGGAGAAACTGCGAGTGCAGCTCACTCAGGCCGAGGTGAGACTTCTTCAGCAATCTAAGACATTAAGTCGTCTCTGCTTTCTGTCCGTTCTCATCGGCTTTCTGTTCTGCAGTCGATGAAAGCTCCGGAGTTGAAAGAGCGCCTGGAAGAGTCCGAGAAGTTGATCCAAGAGATGACCTACACCTGGGAGGAGAAGCTCCGAAAAACCGAGGAGATCGCACAAGTAAGTGGTCGGCAACTCAACTGTGTTCAGCCGGTGTCTGAAATCAGGCTCAGTATTTTATTTATTTTTATTGTTTTGTGCTTTCAGGAACGTCAGAAGCAGTTGGAGAGTCTGGGGATTTCCCTTCAGTCTTCAGGGATCAAAGTTGGAGATGATAAAAGTTTTCTTGTCAACCTGAACGCAGATCCCGCCCTCAATGAGCTGCTGGTGTACTACCTGAAGGTACAGACGCCTAAACCTATTCCTCGTCATGGTGGAATGCGTGTATTCTGCAGGAGGTTTCCTTGCAGAAACCTCCTGCAAGGAGGTTTCTGCAAGGATTCTGCAATACAATACAATACAATACAACATGTTAGAATGTTACGACATTCTAACATTGTGAATGCTGTGCCTCAGGAACACACGCGGGTGGGCTCAGCAGACTCCCAGGACATCCAGCTGTGTGGGATGGGAATCCAGGCAGAGCACTGCGTCATCAACATTACAGCGGAGACCGCCGTCATCCTCACCCCTCACCCCAACGCTCGGTGAGGAATGCCACAGTAACACGTTTTAGGCAAATGAGCTGAACTCAGCTTCAAATAGCCTGGAGGTTATTTGGAGTTGTGCCTACAACACAAGCCTGTGTTGTAGATTCCCACATTAGAGTTGGAGAACAGGTCTGTACCGATCTGCATCAATGCCATGCCGACAAACAGAGTCAGATCAACACCATCAGATGTAATGGAAAAAACATTTAGGTTTTAACGGAGAGATTTAATGAGGCGTTATAAAAAATGTATGCAGCACATCTGAAATCACCCAATGAGGGATTAGATCACAGGATGCTTCCAGGCAGAGATAAAAGCTCACATACTGAATAAGCAATTAATCAATTGCTTGATAATTTCTATTCTAATTAATAATTTTTGAGGCGACGTTTTTATATAGACATCAAAATCCATTTTATTTTTAGTGTCACTTTTATGTGTGTTTTTTTTATTTCTGTTTTATTTATTCTTTAGGTTGTTGTGTTTAAGTTTGGATATTTAAAATATCTTCCAATTAAAGTGTTTATTGTCCAGTGCAAAATAAAAATTTATTGGTCTTTGAGATGAAAAACTGGCATTCTTTTGCTATTATAAACATATTGCTTGAGAATGTTTCAAAACAACAATATTATCATTTATAGCAACAATTACTGGGACAATTTATTATCTGCAGGCATAAATTGAAAGTTTTTTTTTCTAAAACCTGTGATTATAAGTAAATACTGCATATGTAAATTCTTTTGGCTGATTCAAAACTTTACAATGTAGTTGAGGATGACCAGGTTAGTGGCACGTTTCCCTGTATATGTAGAAAGTAGCAATGATACCATTAGTTCTGGGTTCTCCAAGTTAATTGTTGGACATAAATCTGCTGTTTTAAATAACTTACTACCCATTTTGTGCTTCCCATGTCTTCTTTTTTTTTTTTTTTAAATACATCGCTAAAAACTAAAACTAGCTAGCTGAGTCTTCAGTCAGTGTCACTGGGAAGTGTTGGCATGTTTACTATTTGTAAATAAATGTTTGTTTTTGTTCTTTCCCAACTAACCACTGACCAATTGGCATCAGATTTCTCTGTCATTTGTAGCTAACTTGCTGTGATAGAAAATACTCCTTTTTATTTTCAGTGAAAATCAATATAAAGAATCAAGAAATGCAGCTATATATTGCCACATCTGATATTTATTAAGTAATGTTATGGGGTAGAGATAAACCTGATTACTAAAGGTCTTATGCATTTATTGGTGTTACAGGACGTGTGTTAATGGTTCTCCAGTAACCAGTGCTCTGCAACTTCACCACGGTGACCGAATCCTCTGGGGAAACAACCACTTCTTCAGGTAATTTTCAACATTCTTTCCCTTAAAAAAAAATAAAAAAATTGTGTCATCTTCTAGAATTTAAATCTTGTGACATTTACCTTTTTTTTAAAGCTACAATAAATCTTTACAGTCACTGACGTATATTTCTTTCACTTGAAGAATCAATCTGGCGAAGCGGCGTTTGCGGCCAGCAGAGGAAGAGGAGGGCGAAGGCGGCGTGTTGAAGAACAGTGGCAGCAGTGAGCAGCTGGATGCCGACGGCGACACGGCCAGCGAGGTCTCCAGCGAGGTCAGCTTCTCCTACGAGTTCGCTCAGACAGAGGTCATGATGAAGGCCCTGGGCAGCAACGGTGAGAGGACCTATCAGAACGCTGCACCGACTCCCTGCCAGGTAGACCATTAGCTCATCTCTTCTTCTTCTGCTTCTTCTGCCTGTGCTCAGATCCCATGCAGGCGGTCCTCCAGTCTCTGGAGAGGCAACACGAGGAAGAGAAGCGATCGGCTCTGGAGCGACAGAGGCAGATGTACGAGCAGGAACTCCAGCAGCTCCGCAAGAAGCTCAACCCAGACCGCCTGTCCACTGGCCAGCCCGGAGGACAGACGTCTGTCCAGCCAGGGCAGGGACAGCAGTCTCACTACCGCAGCCTGGAGCGGCTCAGTGTGGGAGGGATGAGCCACTCTACCAGCGCTCAGAGCAGACTGAGGCAGTGGAGTGAGGACAGGTGTGTGTGTGAGCGTGTTCACGGTCTGTACACTTTAAAAAAACCAGAATCGACTTATCATTAATTGTCTATTAATGGTTTATTAGATTAAAATTAGTTCCAGTTCTTTAGCTAAATTCATCCACTTAGACCAGTGTTGTCCAAAGTGTAGACGGGGGTTCCATTTTTGGCCCATGGATTGTTTCTATGTCCCGCCAGCTCAGGTGGTTGATGCAGGTTAAGACTTTTATCTTCTATTAGAGTGAAATTATTACTAAGAAATTAAAATCTTATATCAATAGAAAATGATAAGTTTAACACTTTCCATTTTATAATATTCCTAGATTATTGTTGAGCAGGAAAAAAAACTCCATTTGTTTTTGTTGTTTTAGTGCTTTTATGAATTATATATTAATTCCTAATATATACTGGTTATCATTAATCAATAACCAGTCCTCATCCCTAATTCCTCCTGACTGTTTTTTGACTCGACATCCTTCTCCTGTCCTCTTTCAGGGAGGTGGTTTTGGTGAGGAGTCTCCGGAGGCTCAGGGAGCAAATAGTGAGAGCAAACCTCCTGGTGCAGGAAGCGTGTTTCATCTCCGACGAGCTGGAGCGCCACACCGAGTACAGAGTCACCCTGCAAATCCCATCAGACAACCTCAACGCAAACCGCAAGGTCTCGCGCCTCACAGTGAACCTCTGACGGGACCGCGCCGACGTGCGTCCGCCTGCAGCTCGTTAACCTCGGCATGTTTGCGTTGCAGCGGGACGCAGTGCTCAGCGAACCGGCCATTCAGGTGCGACGGCGGTGCCGAGGCAAACAGATCTGGAGTTTGGAGAAGATGGAGAACCGTCTGGTGGACATGAGGGAGCTCTACCAGGAGTGGCAGGACTATCATGTCCATCACCAAGACGACCCAGTGAGTTCTCCCTACAGCCTGCTATAAAAAACCTTCATCAGCTCTGGTAGTGCCAAAAAAATTGAGTATATTTTTTTGGTAGCTTGCCTAAATTTTTTTTCTTTTCTTTTACACTGAATTTCCAGAAATACACATTAGTTGGAGTAAAATTTAGCGATTACTGGTTGTTTTATAATAATTTGTTAAAAGATAAATAGGGGTGTTTCTAAAAAGATGAAAAATGAACTATTTTAGACATTTAAAAATACGTTAAGTTCAGTAAGTTTTGCAGATGGTTCCAAAGGCAAAAGGTCTAAAACCTGTGTTCATTTCCTTCTGTTTACCTCAACTGCACCAATCTTTGCACAGGTACAGGTGGATCTATGGTTTCCAAAAAATATTTGTAAAAGGTTTAAATGCTGTATAAGGCAAAAAATAATTTCTGGTGAGGAACAAAAACTGCCAAATTATTTTAGGTTCCATCCTCATTTTCTCTTAAACTACAGCAGCGATTTCACTACTTACACTTCTGATTGAGTCTTAAAAGTATTAGCTTATTTTTGATACCAATATTACTGAAGTAGAATTTGTAAATGCTGAGAAAAAGTAAATTAGATTTGAGTATGTCATTTAACTTCAGAAACCCCTGTAGAGCTTACTTTTTCCTCTCCTCCTCCAGGTAATGCGTTCATACTTCCGCCGAGCCGACCCGTTCTTCGATGAGCAGGAGAATCACAGTCTGATCGGCGTCGCCAACGTTTTCCTTTCCTGTCTGTTCTACGACGTGAAGCTGCAGTACGCCGTTCCCATCATCAACCAAAAGGGAGAGGTACAACCCGAGCTCCTCAGCTTCTTTTCAAGTGCAATAATGGAAACTTAACCTTTTTTTCCCTTCTGTTTTCCTTTGTAAGGTCGCAGGACGCTTGCATGTGGAGGTCATGAGAGTGGGAGGGGGCTTGGAGGACAACATGGCAGGAGGAGATGAACCTGACAACAACCAGGACTCTGAATTTGAGGATCGCAAACTGGTCTGCTCGGTAAGCAACGCCGATGCTCGTCGTTGGAGCCGTTTTCGACGCTGCGGGCGTTTACTCAAATTCTGACTCTGACGTTGACTTGGGTGTAACTGCAGATAAAGATCCTGCAAGCCACCGGTCTGCCGCAGCACCTGTCCAACTTCGTCTTCTGTCAGTATTCGTTCTGGGATCAGGCTGAGCCCACCATCGTGGCCCCTGAGGTTGACCCGTCTTCCTCATCGCCCAACTCAAAGGACCCGCACTGCATGGTTGTGTTTGACAGCTGCAAGGTGAATGTCAATATTTTTATTTTTATGCACAATTACTTTAGGGATGCAACTGACCATAACTTTAGCCATCGATTAATCTGTTGATTATTCCAACAATTAATTGGATAAAAACGATCAGCACATTCTACAGATATTCTTATTTAAATTGTTTTAATGTAATATTGTAAATACATTAAAAAATGCAAATAAAACTGTATTCCTTAAAAAAGGAAATAAACACTGGATCATTTGTAGCAAAATTCGCATCTGCAGCTAAAAATATTCTCAAAATGTCAGCCTGTTCTGTCTGACTTAACATCAATATTGTGTCGGAACAACATGTTTATTTTTTGTTCTTTTGATTAACATATTCATAAATGGATAGCAAAATTGTGGCACTTTAAGAATTTTAGGTAGAACTTATTTACAGAGAGAGAGTTTTTTTTATTCCTTTCCATCCATCCATCCATTCATTCATTCATTCATTCATTCATTCATTCATTCATTCATTCATTCATTCATTTCTTACACCCTTGTCCCTTATTGGGGTCAGGAGGTGCTGGTGCCTCTCCAGCTAACGTTCCAGGCGATAGGCGGGGGCACCCTGGACATGTCGCCAGTCTGTCGCAGGGCAACACAGAGACACACAACCATGCACACACACACACTCACCTAGGGACAATTTAGAGAGACCAATTTTTTTCCTTACCTTTAATGCATAATGTATATATTTTACACAGTTTTGGTTTTATTACTGCTCTGAATTTGTTATTTTCAAGCATGAACAAATGTTTTTTTTTTTGAGTTAACGATTAATCTGTTACATTGGTTCACCATTATTTCAGTAATCAATTCATTGGCATTAATTGGATTAATCATTTCATGTAAATAGAATCACATCTATTTATTTATTGCTGATAAATCTATTTATTATTTGGCGATTAACAGATGTGATTCTCTGTTGACGCTGTAGGAGGTGGCGGTGTCGGTAACAGAGGATTTCATCGAGTATCTGACTGAAGGAGCTGTTGCCATCGAGGTGTTTGGACACAAGCAGTCTGATGCAGGAAGAAACCCGGCCCTGTGGGACCTCAGCATCATCCAGGCCAAAACTCGGACGCTACGAGACAGGTAGACGCTCACACACTCGCTTATCTTCCTGCAGACAGACTCTGACAGGACCGCTCTGCGTTCAGCTCCTTTATCTTTCCTTGAAGTCTGGCTACCACACCGCCATGTTTCACCATGTGAACTTTTGCATGTGGGTTAAAAAGTTCAGCTTTGTTCTAATCTGACCAGAGCTCCTTCTTTCTGGTGTTTGCTGTGTCTTCCATGTGTTCTGGACAACTTCAAACATCTTTCTTTCAAAAATATCTCCTAGACGTGCTACCATGGAGTTCAAATTTGCATAGTTTGTTACATGGCATATTAATTTTTGATGGACATGTACTGTAGGAAATGTCTTTTTTTTTTTAAGACCTCGCCTTTTATTTCTGTTTTTAGGTTTTAAAATAAAATTGAAAAACAACTGAAGACATTTGTACAAAAAAAAGGTGGAGTTTAAAAAACCTAATGACAAAAATATCATGCTTTAGCAAATACATTTTGTTTTGGTTGTATTCATATTTAGAAACACTAGTTCTGTTTTTTTTTTTTTTAATAATCTCAGCTCGAGTTATAAAGAACCATTGTGGAAAATTCAAAGAGCCACTTGTGACTCGGGAATTTCTTCATAACTTTCTCACACTTTTTAAGATTTTGATTTGTAAAAAAACACTAAAAAAAACTGATGGTAGGTGGAGCGAGGTCACACGTCGCCTGGAACTGTGGATTCAGATCCTGGAAATAAACGAAAATGGGGACTTTGTTCCAGTGGAAGTAGTTCCAGCCAGAGACGTGAGCACAGGGGGAATCTTCCAGCTTCGACAGGTAGGGATGTAAAACCTACACAGTCCCAGACGGCATGACTCCAGAGGAGGACGAAAAGCTGATTTATAATGTTCAAACTGCTGTTTGGGTTCACGTCGACCCCAGGGCCAGTCGAGGCGAATCCAGGTGGACGTGCGCTCGGTTCAGGACTCGGGCACGATGCCGCTGATAGCAGAGATCGTGCTGGCCGTGTCGGTGGGCTGCGTGGAGATCAGGACCAGCACAGCGAACCAGGAAGGGGACGAGATGGACAGCTACCAGGTATGCCAAACCGACACGACTCGCTCCACGTTTCTGCTTCAGAATGCTCTAGGTGAAGTTGCGTCTATAAAGGACAGAACGCATTAACTGAGCCCTTGATGGACAGGATAGAGATCTGGAACGTTTGCGGCGGCAGTGGTTGGCTGCGCTCACCAAGAGACAGGAATACCTGGACCAACACCTGCAGAGCCTGGTTAGCAAAGCAGGTAACATTTACAGATGTTCACACATGAAATTACACAATGTTTTTTTTTTTTTTAACAGGCGTTCAGGAGAAACGGTTGTAAAATGATTGGCTGATGCTGTTTAATTTAAACCCCAGGAACAGATTTGAAAAAAAATGGAAAGTGTTCACTTTGTCTCTGTCATGTTTAAATGTTACCATGTTTGCTTCCAGAAAAGACAGAGGATGACATGGAGAGGGAGGCGCAGCTGCTGGAGTGGAGGTTGACTCTCACTGAGGAGAGAAACGCCGTCATGGTGCCCTCTGCTGGCAGCGGCATTCCTGGCGCTCCTGCAGAGTGGTATGTCACCAGATACGTTCAGCAGATTGTTGTAGGGCTGGGCGCTTTGGGTTAAAAATAAAATCTTAGATTTTTTTTTTTTTTTTTTGTCATTTTCTTTTCTGTTAAAGAAATGACAAATTATAGGAAATATTTTCAAAAAGTGATTTATTTTTCAATCTTCCCCTTTTTGTAAGTTGTACAACAAAGTATTAGGGCCAGGCCTTGAGACTTTTTGTTTAATTACAGGAATATAGTCATAATATTAGCAGAATAAAGACGCAACTTTGCTAGAAGAATACAAGGAAAAAGTCGTTTTGATTAAGGAGAAAATCCTGGATAAGTAATTTTTTATTTTTTGTTAGTTTTCATAAAATTACTACTTCATTCTCCGACCTTATTCTGGTAACATTAGGACTTAATTCTCATATTATTTCAAGTGTATTTTTATAACATTATGTCTTTATTCTCACAAAAAAAATCTTAGCCTGACTTATATTTTGTCGTAGAGTTGGCCTGAATTCAAAGTCCAAATAAGTAAAACCTGTAAATCACTCTTGTGAAGCAAGATGGCTGACATCACTCCGAACTATGAAAATCTATGGAGAAAATTAAAAACAAATCACAAATTCAGTTGGTCAATAAAATCAATTTATCACCCAAGCATAAAAACCCCACATCCATAGTGCCTGTAAAATACTGTTTTTCTGTTCGCAGGGCGCCTCTACCAGGGATGGAAACGCACATTCCAGTCCTCTTCTTGGACCTTAAACGTAATCAGTTTTGTTAACTAGAGCAGGTTGCCCTAACGTCACCTCAGTTTCTCATCAAAAGTTTTCTCGTTTCCCCCAGCCGACGACCTCAGCTCCCACGAGCAATTTGAAGTGCCTGAAGCCGGAGGCTGGGACGCCATGTTGACCGGAGAAGACGAGGACGACTTCTTCGACCTGCAGATTGTCAAACATTACGATGGAGAGGTGAGCATCTACTCTCTCTCTCCTTCTTTTTCTGGCTGCCTTTCTGCTCATGCTGCAGTGATGACCCTCAATGACCGCCAGGTGAAAGCTGAGGCGTCGTGGGACTCCACCGTCCATGAGTGTCCCCAGCTGAGTCGCGGCGGGTCGTGGCCGGAGCAGCGCGTCTACCTGACGGTGCGGGCGGTGGTCCAGCTCAGCCACCCCGCCGACATGCAGCTGGTGCTGAGGAAGAGGATCTGCGTCAATGTCAACCCGGGTCGCCAGGGTTTCGCCCACAATTTCCTCAGGAGGATGTCGACCCGCAGCACCATACCTGGCTGCGGCGTCACCTTCGAGGTGGTTTCCAACATTCCTGGGGTAAGACGAGGAACAGGACGCCGGCGTTTAGTTTGGCTGAAAGTGCCTCACAAAAGTATTCCTGCCAGTACCTGAAATTGTTTCTTTTTTTTTCCTTTTTTCAGGATGCTCCAGGTTCAGAGGACAGGGAGATGCTAGCCCGGATGGCAGCGAGCGCACACAACAGCCAATCGGGAGATGACGAGGCCGCCATTGAGAAATACCTCCGCAGCGTGATGAGCCTGGAGAACATCCTGACCCTGGACAGACTCAGACAGGTAGAAGGAGAACCTCCCAGCACTGCAATCTGACTGATTGCAAAGACTGATCATCAGGAATGCTAAACGTTTCTGATTTGTTTGAACTTGTTAAAGGAAGTAGCAGTGAAGGAGCAGCTGACTGGCAAGGGGAGGAGTAGCAGGAGGAGTCTGAGCTCTCCGTCTGTTCACAGGGTAAAATAAATAATCATATTCTTCCATGCGATACAGAAACAGAGAAATATTTTCCTAATGTTTCCGTCTGTCTCACGTTTCAGCTCTCTGGAAGTAGGCAGGACCTGTCCACGTCTTGCCTGTTGGATGATAAGGTAGCGCAGATTCCTTTACCAACCTGCTGCTTGGTTTTAAACTCTGGAGACATTTATTAAATTTTTATTTTTGTATATGGCAGTAGCTGATCCAATGATGCGTCATAATGAGACGTTCCACCTATTCTTATTTATTTGTTTTTATTTTACCTTTGTAGCAGCTCCCCAGCACTTGAATTAATTTGCGCGGTCTCGACGGGTCATTTTCAAGATTTATTTTCTTTGATGTGGACCATCAGTCATCTCAATCACCTTGATTACCTCAGTCACCGTAATCATCGTAGTCACCGTGAAAACTAAACAGATATACAAATATTAGAATATAAAAATAAACTTACAACACACAAACGAAATAAAACATACCTCGCTGCTTTCACCGGGGAACACTAAGTGTTGATGGTGCCAAGCACATCTTTGACAGTTTGTTCAAGTTTGAATTGTTCTTTTAATATATATAACTTCATGAATGTATTTATTTGTTTGTTGGGTTCTGCATTCATGTCTTGATCGAAGAAGATGGCTCTGTATACCTTTCAATAACCTGAACGTGATTCAGTGGGGTGGCCAGTATTTTTTAAGAGGGTCCCATGGCCCCCTTTGCCCCCCTCTTGCAGTCGCCGCTGCTGAAAACTTCCTTCATTTCAAAACTAATCCTGTCTTTGCTCCTCAGGGTCGATGGGAAAGTCAGCAGGATATCTTCATGCCCTCTTACCGCACCCTCCCTCGCCCGGCTTCATCCCCGTCTACCTACTCTACCTCCCCCTCTTCATCCTCCATGCCCTTCAATATGACCCCCCCACAGAACCAGGAACCAGAGCAAGGTAAACATCCTGCCTTTTATGGCCTCTCTGCCCCACCATCTTTACTTTTCTAGCCATTCTCCACTACCTCCGTCTCTTTGTTTCTGCCTCTTCTTTGTTTTTATCGTTTTCCTCTCCTGTGTGATGATTCAAAGACATTTATCACTTTATTCCATGTTTCCCACTGTTAAACATCCCTCAGCTTTGATAAAATGTGTGAACTCATTTTCTTAAGTTGTTTTTTCAGCTTTTTACACCCATTCTGCTTTCCTAACCTTGCCAACGTCGTTGCTGATCAGTGCTGTGCCATGTCTGATGATTTCATTGTGAATATTTCTGATGGCTAGCTGGTTTAACTGTGATTTCTTTCCCATTTCAGTGTGACATCAAGTTAATTTTGTTTCAGAAATGAACAGAATTAATGATCTCAATGAATTTCTGTCGCAGTAATTTAGAGCCTCATATCTTAGCTGATAGATAAATCACCTCTGTGTTGTTTTATTAGACGCTTCCTCTGTCAATCTGTCACTATGTTGGTGTTTTTTTTTTTTTTTTTTTTTTTTTTTTTGCCATTTTCTGGACTTGCTTTCAACTTCTCGTCTTAATCTTTCACACTTCCTCCACCTCCCGGACCTCCTCTTGTTTTCTCATTTCCTTCCTCTTCTCTGCCTCCACCTCGCTGCCTCTTCCCCTTTTCTCCCTCCCCCAGGTCGTTTAGGACTTGCTGCCTCTTATCTTTCAGTTAAGGCCCTGGTTCCTCAGATGCCCAAACTGCTCAAGTCTCTGTTTCCTGCTCGGGACGACAAGAAGGAGCTCAGACCTTCGCCACACGGCCAGCAGGTCAGCGGAAACAGAAACGGCTGACGCAGCGAAAAAAGAAAAAGAAAAAGAAAAAAAAACGACTGCATAATGAGCAATTAAAAGGTGTGATCAAACTTTTGTCTGTCACTCAGCAGCATGTGCCTCGCATCGTTGCGTCAACGGGAGGGGACGACAGCAGAGGCAAGCCTGAGACGGTGAGAGATCCATATGAAGTGGTAATGTAACCAACTTAGCTACTTTTCAGACAAAAAAAAATCAGTCAAAATCAGATTTGGGAGGCCTGTTAGGAAAAAGGCGATCGGAGCAGCACTGCAAAATGTATTCACATCCAACCCTCTGCTGCAGAGGGGACAGCTGGCCTGTCTGCAGAAAATCAATCACTGTTCTAAAAACTTCTTGCAGCTTTTACGCGCCCGCCGACTTTATTTCTAACTATCCAAATGCAGATTGAATGTAAAATCAGTCGATTCCGGTGACCAGCAGATTTTCTTAGTTCATCTAATTGGGTGAGATTTCTTTGGAGATTGCCAGAGACATTTTTGATTAGTTTAGATTTTTTTAACATACAAAAATTTTTGCATGTTTACATTTGCAGAATTCCTTGTTCAAATTGAAATGTGTTTGGATTAAATAATCTGAATGTATTGTTTATAGAGGCACAAAATGAATCTGTTAATAATGTGAGAAGGTGTCAGTTGCTGAGTTTAGGAGGAAGAGAGATGTAAACTTCAGGAGCTAGTTTTATTTTACTTCCAACATAGTTTTTTCAATGAAATGTTGTATATCCTCACCTTCCTAATATAACAGACAAGTCATTTTTTTGCAAATATTGATTTTCTTTTTTTTTTTTTTTTTTAACCAATGACTTTTAGGTCATTACTTTAGGATGGTGACATTATCAAACTACCATCTGCTGTATTTGTAGCAACGGTTGCTGAATGGGAGTTTCTGCAGAACCAACAGCACTGACAGCCATATTCTGTATTTTATTAGATTAAACATTTGTCTGGATTCATGAACTAAATTTTACATCCTGTTGACTCACAATGAAGAGTTTTGAGATTGCTGATTTTTATCCTTGGTGTTTTTTTTTTTTGTTTTTTTTTTACTTTTTGTTCTCCGCATGCTGTCGCCTGTCCCTCTGTTGCCACGGCAACCGTTGGGGCCCCTGCAGGCTGCTGCCCCACGACTTGCTGCCAAAGACCGAAGGGCCGAGTTTCCGGACGTCCCTCCTCTTCCTGTGCATGACCCGCATGACACCACCCCTTTAAGCCCCCTCAGCCAATCGTCGAGCGGCTATTTCTCCGCTAGTGTTTCCACGGTTACCCTGTCCGACGTCCTCCAACCCTCCTCCTCGTCTTCGTCCCTCCTGGGCGCCGACGTGGCGTCACCCTCAAACCCCCAGCAGCAGCAGCAGGGCGCTGACAGGAACGATGTTGTGACCTCTCCCCCCCAGTGTGGCGCCAAGATGACTGTCGTAGCGTCCAATCACAACAACAGCGTCCCGACAGAGCTCTCCTTCTCCGACCAGAAGCTAGTTGAAGGCTTTGAGCGGCTGGAGATCTTTGTGGACGACGGCGACGGCCGCGGTCATGACGACATGCCGCCTGACTGGCTGACGGAGGGCGAGTACGTCACCGTAGGAAGCAACAAGGCCGGAACTGTGCGCTACGTGGGGACGACGCAGTTCGCAGACGGAGTGTGGGTGGGCGTGGAGCTGGACACCCCAGTAGGTAAGTGTGAGATTTAAAGGGCCAGATTGCTCAAAATGCCGACGCTTTCCAGGGTTTGTGCGGGTTCTTGAAATCCTTGAAAATCCTTCAGTTTCAATTAGGTGTTTTTAAGGTTTGGAAAGTGTCCGACATTCAAACTGCACAGTTTTGTAATAAAGTGCAATTTATCGTTTGATTAAAAGCATAAACTTGGAAAATGTCATTTACAGTTCACACCAGATATTTTCATACATCTTACAAAAAGACGCATCCATTCTTTTTCTTGCTGTCTGAAGTTAAATCAGACCAAATTTTTCTTGTTTTAGGTTAATTAGAGTTTCCAAAATTATTTCTATTTGCTAAATGTCAAGAAACCTAAACGAGGACATTTTTGTACAGATTTTTTTGCCACTCTCTTCATATATTGTGTTCAAGCTTTTAATTTGAATATTAACACGATTTGTTTGAATAGTTTCAGTGTAATGAATATTTATTATTCCTAATGGCTCAACAACTTATTGATAAGTTATTAAAATTGGGGGATTATTTTGTTAAATCAGTATTTTGTTCTCGTTCAGGTGTATAAAATGTGTGAGAAACATTTCAAAACTTTAAATTTTGTTATATTTTAATTTACCTCGCCCTACTACAGAATGTAGATTACTAGAACAAGACTTTAACAGTAGTAATATAGATAAAATTTTAACTCCAGCTTGTGGCACTGGAAACGTTTGAAAACTTACCTTGAAAAGTGCTTGAATTTCACTGTGGGGGAAAATCTACGAACCCTGATGACCTGGATTGTTTTCCTTCCTGCAGGTAAGAATGACGGGTCAGTCGGAGGCCACCGATACTTCCTCTGCAAACCAGGCTATGGGGTGCTGGTCCGCCCAGACCGGCTGTCGCGCTGCGACCGAGCCGCTCGGCGAACCACGGACTTCGCTCTGCCGGCCCACGTCCCCGTCCTGCGAGGGGAAGCCACTGTAGCTCGCAGAGGAGAGAACCGCAAGTCCTGGAGCAACTGAGATGGGAGAGAGACAAACTCCCCACAGTGCATCTGCTCTTCCTTGACTCCTAAAAACACATCAGGCTCTGTCTACTTCCTGGTAACACGTTGCTGGAAGCTCCACATATGCAACTTCAAGTCAAAGAAAAAACCAGATCAGAGAGTGAAGAGCCTGTGTAGGAGAATGACTATTCAGTCCAATGAAGTTACCACACAGGAGAAATGATGCCTTCTGTGGGAAGCTGGTGGCTAGTACGCTGAGAGCCAACGGGAGCCGAAGTGTCCATTCAGAGATCCTATGAGTCGATACGCAGCAGTGCAAACTCGTCACTTCTTTTTAAAACACTGTGTAAAAAATAATCAGATCCATACTGAAAAAGATGGAACTTATAGGATTATTTTGGTTTGTTTTATATATAAATAAGGAAATGGATGAAAAAACACTTTGAAAGATTTTTGACGAGAAATGTTTGCGTCCCTGCATATCGACTTCCCTCCGGAGTTCCCGAACACACCACGACCACGACTGCCGCCCTCCTGAACTGAGCCTCGTCGCTCCCTTCCTGGACTTTTTTTTTTCTTCTTTAAAGTATCCAGAACGTGCCTTTCGCCATGGTCTGGTTTGTGTTTGCTTTCTGTGTTTTGTCTTACTTGCGTTCCGTTTGCCGTGTCATGTGTTGGCGAGAAAGCCTTGTGCAAAGTGTGAGGTGATCTCAGGGACTGAAGAGGGGGTGGGCCTTTGTGTGTGTATGTGTGTGTGTTTGTGAAACGTAGTGTACGTAAAATATATTGTGTCAAAAGATGAAGCCGTGTGGAAAAAGCCACTAGAGGTTGATTTTTTTTTCTTTTGCACTGGACACGTTGGAGGGAAAAGCTTCTGTACGTGAGCATGGAGAGTGTCGGAGATTTCCCATGATGGCTACTGTCGTTTTAAAGCACGTGTCGACGGAAAGACAAAAGAGGATGTGTTTAGTACGAGTTGGGAGAGTTTCTGCTTGAGAAAAAGCTGATTTTATTCTATGCATGTGATTTTAAAAAAAATCGAACACAAATGGGAAAATGAGAGTATTTGGGAGAGCGTCTGCATGTTTTTACATTCCAGACACACCTGGTGAAGAAAACTCAATGTTGGGAGGTTTTAAATTAGTTTTTATGATTTCATGAAACATTCCAGAGGCATTTTAACCTGAACATTGACCTATAGAGATGTTTCCAAGATATTTTTTAGGACTCTACTAGATGGCATCCATTTGCTGTGCAGCTAGATAAAGAGCAACTCCCTTTAAACCAAGCGTTTCTTCTCTACTGAGGTCAGAGGGCAACACATAAAGCATTGGAGCGTTGTTGTCACCAAGAGGGGGCTGATGGGATGAGTTGATATAAAGATGGAAGAGGAATGTTTTATCTGTCCTGGGACGTTTTGTTACTACAGCTGCCGGCTATGTTCCTGCTGATGACGGCTGGGGTTACGATTCTGGACGCGTAGTATATTCTCACTGTCTGTTCCTGTGGTGATCACTGCCAGTCAGAGTTTTATATACACACTTCATCAGTGCAAATTTCATTTTATGCTGGACTTGAAGTGAAGCATTTAATTATTTTTCCATGGCAGAACAACTTCAATGAATTTGGCCCCATTTGTAGACAAACATCGTACCTCGTGTTATTGTTTACCTCCAGAAATTTTGAGCATGCGCCCGATGCTGGAGGGCAAAAAGATGATTCTCTATGGCATCCATAAGGAATCCAAAAGATGCTCTTTATGATGTAGAGCAGTTTCATGTACAAAATAAAACCTATGATTAATTTGGTGCAGTGTGACACAACTAAAGGAAAAATGATGCAGAAAAAATGTTGAACTATAACCCAAAACCACTTGTATTCTTTTTTCCTCGCTCTATGATTTATGAGGATTCAACCCCAAAAAAACATGCAAACATTTCCCACACAAAGAACAGAACCTTAAGTCTGTTAGTACAGTTTTATGTTTCCAAGTTTGATATTTATTTTGTGATTATTAATAGGAAATCGTCTGAAAACAGAGATGGTTGACTAGCTAATTTAAACACCTGCTGTAATGATGTGATGACCTGTCTGAGATCATCACATCCCCCTTTTTTCTTTAACTGAGCGAAACACACCAAATTCTGCAGCCCATCTACATGTAAAGGTTGTCAAAGTCAAGCTAGCATAACTGACCTTTCAATTAAAACCTTTTTCTGACCTTTAAGATATGATACTTTATCTAGTTGTCGTACTGTTGACAATTGGCATCAAAACATTGCATCCATTTTTCTTTTGTGTCATTTGTACATTTAAGATTTAGCGCGGTACGTTGAGAACTTGACAGCTAAAACCAATGGTAGCCATCGTCAATGAGCAGGATTTTCTTGGAATCTTATGCTTGTGAAACCATAACTATTATTTGATTTAATTCCAGCTGGATATTTCATCACTGCTGTTTATCAGAAATAATAGAACTAATTTGTTTAAGTTATGCAGTTAAGAAGTTTCTCTAGCATTGACATTTGGGGCCATTCCAGAAGTTTGATATTCTGCGTAGTCTACGTATCAACCATCCAGCATCATCATTCAACTGTGTTTTACATCATTGATGCAAAACATGTAAATGCATCATTAAACCCCTCAGTTCAAAATGATCTCCATGCTGATGAATAGTGCATGTAAATATGTGACTAGCTCTGCACACTCAGGACTCTAAGAATCTCTGACATTGATGGTGTGCAGATGTTTTGTAAGTTATCAGTTATACTGTGTGTGTATAGACCCCTGTCCCTCAGGAGTCCATTGGGGTTTCATCTGTTTTATAATTGCGTGTTCTTTACTTGAGAGGTAAGCAATAAGTATTTATATCGGGGTTGCTTGTACACTTGCTTTTATCACATGGGAGCTGATGAAGTTGTTTTATTGGAATGATTATTGCACAATGATTTAATGAGAATTGCTGCTATGAGCTTTGTAAATAGACTTGTAAATGAATCAATTGATTTTTGTTTTTCTCCTTGCTGTGCGCTTAAGTGGATTTTAATTGTTTTGAAAAAGCTAAGGGGTGGTGCTTTGGGTGGTTCGTATTCTTTAGGTAATGTTGAGGCACTTTGTCTTGTGAGCAGGGAAGTGAAGGTGGTGAGGACCAGCACACCTGTGTCCTTATAAGGAAAGAGACATTTTTAATGTTGAATCTGCAACAATGTTGGAATCTAGTTTGCCACCAGACTTGAGTTTATTATGTGTGCATTTTAGTCGTGAGCCAGTTACCATTAACGAGGTACAGAAATGTTTTGAACACTTATGGTTTTGAGAGCGAATCGGGTGTTTTTCTGTTTGGTTTAATGTCCTCCTAGTGAGATACTGGAAAATGAACGGGCAATAACTACTGGAGTTTTTGATTAACGCATAACTACGCTTCTCCACTTTCTCCCTATATCACTTATGAGTAATATCAGAGCCCTGAACACCGTACACAAACAGGAACAAGATGAAAATAGACATCGCTTGTTAATATCAACCCAGTTTTACTTATTTTATCTGTTAAAAAAGGACTAACATTGGCCAACACCAATGTTGATGTCGATATATTGTTCATCCCTCATGCAAACGTTAAGCTGTTTGGAAAGATGGTTATAACAAATGTGGATAATCGTGTGGAGCCTGAAGAAGTAATACTTATCACTTTTATTTATGAAACACTTTAAGACTACAGTTAGCAAGCTACCAGCAGCTGCCTTAGCAGATAGCCCAACTAAAAAGGCTAATATTACCTTTAGCTTCTAATAAATAGTTCTCATGTGACATCACACTTTCGGGAACTTTGTAACTGACAGCCATCTTGGTAGGTATGCATAGCTAACTGTCATAACAGGTGCTATGGAGTTGCTATGGCAACAATAAACAAGCCACAAGCCTAGAACTAGCTCTCACCTCATTCCTATCTAACTTATAAACACTATAAGTACAATACAACTATTAAGCCATACATTTTTTCTCCATAGACTTTCTTTTGTTGGGCTCAAAGCCATGGTTAATCAATGCTTGGCTACCAAGATGGCGGTTCAGTGGTGCAGATCCCTTCCAGTTCAGACTTGTCTGAACTATATATACTCCAAGTATTACTTTGGACTAAAGTGATAGAAAAGCAATAATATTCTGCACAACAAGCATTTGAAAAACTACTAGCTAGTTTTAACTCTGTCAAAAATAATAAGTTACAACTAACAGTACTACTGTTGTAACTAGTGCTTTGAAGTTTTTTTTAATGTTAATACCACAATATGGCACACTTTTATTTCTAACTGTATCACACAAGACTGTGGACAGGCCCATGACTAAAGCAGCTGTTGTTTAGCCTGATGTATTGGAGTTCTCTGATTGGTCGGGAGATTTGACTGTTTTGTAACTTTCTGGTTCTAACAGGTGGTTCTGAAGGAAAGGCAGTAAGTTTTCTGATGTGTGTGTGTGTGTGTGTGTGTGTGTAGTGTGTGAAGGAATGTTGTGTAGCTCCGCTCTGATGGAAAACGATCACCAGCTGCTTCCTGCGAGGCTGCTGGTCCTTCCTTTTCCAGTCCGGCCTCAGAGATGGTTGCCGTGGGGACGGAAAAGGGGCTGGTGGGGGGAGGGGCTGAGATCACTTCAGACTTCTGGTTGTTTGTTTTTGTTGCTGTGCCTCAGAAACCACGTTTCTTTCACAGGTCGTGTTATATTGACTACACTTTGCACAGAGGGGAGAAAAATGTGCAGCTCTTGGATGGAAACGACACACCTGTTTGGGATTTTTGTTTTTCTGTTCAGTGTTCTCGAGCTACGAGCTCCTCTATTTAAGTAAAAAAAAAAAGAACACTTTACACTTCATGTTCTTGTTTTACCTAAAAGCAGAGCTAAGCTCAGCTACAACAAACAGTCCTCTGTATAAACAAGGCTTGTAGGATCCCAAAGTATGGATGAACTCTGACCTCTGGGTGGATTTAGAGCAACAAAAAGACATTTGAACACAATAAAACGATTGTTTTTACACTGGTGCCAAGCCAGCGTTATTTATGGATCTGTATCAGCCATTAGAGGCACTTTTTTCTATTTTTATTCCCATTTGGATCTTGAGTCTTTATGAGCCTTCAGACCTTCACACTGTTTCCTTTTTTTGTTTATCGTGCTGTTCTGAGTGCAGCCCCCTGCCTCTAATGTGGCCTTCAGCCTGGATGCAGAGCAATTTCCAACTGAGCAGTCTCAGTTTTCTCTCTCTCTCTTTCTCTCTCTAGAGGTGTGGTTTATTACATTAAACTTTCAGCAAACCGTCTATCTTTGCGGGCTGTTTACAAAATAAGAGCCCACTTTGGTTTCCTGTCGTAAAGTAAAGTCTTTTGGTCTCAGGAGCTGTCAGGTTTATCACTGCCCGTTTCCCATTGAAGGAGTTTGCCTAGATTCGCCCCCTAGTGGCTGCTTTGAACACCTTAGCCAGAAAATGGAGCGGTTTGTCTTCCATGCTGGGAGTTTTAACTGCAATCAGAAAAAAAAATTACAGGAAAAAAAAAATTGGGAGTCACAACTACCCAGGATCATATCAGATAAAATCTAGTTTCAGGATTTTTTTTTTTTTAATTTATTTTTTTGGCTAAAACAGAATTGGAAGTTTATTTTAACCTTTGAACTACCTCAGTCCTTGCTCCAGTGTGTTCCTACCGGCTTCAGTGTGTTCTCCACCATCAAAAAGAACCACAAAAACAAGCAATACAGAGCTGCCAGGTGCAGCGTCCAACCATTTCAATAAATTTCAGCTTCGTCTCCTGTTTGGGTTATTTTCTCCTCCATGTTACTCCAACCATATTTACCTGGGCTACATAACGATGATGGCTCATAAGAGTGTGAAGGTTACTTTCCCCTCATGTAGCTGAGGATGAACTGTAATGCTCAGCTGTTTGGTTTTAATGTGGCCTTGGCCCGGTCAACAGTATTACGATTATCTTTAAGAAATCATGATCAGTCACTGCTGCTGTTGATTGTGTGGAGCAGGAATGTCTGCCTGTGTCATTTCTGTGTTTGTTCTCTGGATGTGTGTGTGTGTGTGTGTGTGTGTGTGTGTGTGTGTGTACATATGCGCATATTAAGACTTATAAAGGAGATAAATCTGAGCACAAGTTTGGGTTTTGATTAATTTAATTGTTTTATGTAATAACTTTTATGCTGCAATCCAAAGAATAAACATGTATTATAATACATTTATTTTCATTTTTAATCATCTGAACAGTAGATAGATTAAGAATAAAAAAATGTATGAGGATTTTCTTGTTTGATGTGTGTGTAATGTAACTTTTACTTTTTTCTGCACTGAAGTAGCTAAAGCTTGGGTTCCAATTTGGGACAATTACTGCCACCTGCTGGTCAATAAGACGCAATACAAGGGGCTCAAAAGCATGTTGGCAGGAATCCTCCAAGGTGGGAAAAACATCTCTGAAGAAACGTTTGAAGCCGTCTGGACTCTATAGGCTTCAAATATGGGGGAAAAAAATTAATGGCCAAGACTTCTTACGTTTCCACTGAGTTAAGTCGAGGCCACTTTTTTTTTTCTCCCAGTCTGTAGAAACGGTAAGCTTAATTGTTAACTTTAACATATTGAAGTACTAGCTTGACAAATGTTATCAAATTAGAGGGGAGGGAAGACATCTGCTTCCTTATCTTGTTGGTTTAACCCTCACTCCCTGAATTTAAAATGATATATAAAAATGTACCTATTTTGCTTTTAAGCAGAGGATAAATCAGGTAGAGATTGATAGGTGTGAGAAAAATTAGCATAATGTGTTTCAAGTCATTTTCTAGTCTCTAGCATATGAGTTACTTTATTAATGGTATAACCGCTTAAACAGCCCCACATCATGACTGGCACTGAACCACTAGATCCATACTGTCCATTAAGCTTAGGAAAGGGCGCATGTTTGATTTCGGCTGGGTGAACGTGGCGCAGGGGCAGAGTCACGACCCAAGTATGGAGGCCTCAGTCCTCGATGCGGCAGCCACAGATGGAGGTCAAAAGGCCACTATAGTCGGAAAAAATCTTTTAAAAAACAGAACTTCCAACAAAATGTGTGTTATTCACACTCCGACCACTAGATGGCAGCAATGTGGTCCAGATATGACCATCTTCTGCTGCAGGAACGAAGATTTAAAGCAACTTAGTGACGAGAAGTCTAAAAGTGGCTTAAAGGAATATACATTTACCATTGACAGTATTTAATAGCTTCAACATTAATGCATTCTTTCTATTGTATGCAAAAACAGTCAAATTTCCTATTTGAGATCTACAGGTAAACTAACATTGCACTTCCCCACAGTGAACGGCTGTGGAGGCGTTTCTTCATCAGGGTCAATTTCACAAGTGATGACAAAATTGAGACTGAGGTGAAGACTCTGCCAGGCCCACAGCTAAAATGGAATGGTTTCAGATCGAAGCTTGTGTATGTGTTGAAATGACCTGGTCAAAATCAAGAATGTTATTTCACGGCTGCTCTCCGTCCAGCTGACTTTAGCTACAGCTATTCTACGTACCAAGTAAGAAATGCAGAGACACAGAGCATCGAGTCTGATCAGCTTTTATTCCCTTGTAAATAGAATATCGATAAAAACACACCTTAAAAATAACAAATCAAGGTTTATTGAACAGATGAAAAAGTAACAAAAGGCATATGTAGATTTTCTACATAGCAATTACACAACAGTCTACTCGTCCAAAAAAGGCACTAAATCTTGAAATAGAAATGAACAAGGGGATTTAAAAAAATAAAAATAAAAAAAAACTGATCCAACATCCATCCAGTTGAGGTTTGATATTTTTGTTTTACAGAGATGTGTTGAAAGAGCTTATTGCCAGACCGATGGAGATCACCATCGTTATTTTCTAAAACTGCTAGAAGAAGTGTAGCGTTTCCAGTCCCTGGCTAATGGGATGAGAAGATTTAAGGCTGGAGAGTACACAGTAAATGACAACCGCATGAAAGATGTACATGTAGAAAACTGTTTTCATCTGAAGAATATTCAGAAACAAACATGATTGAAGGCAGATGTTGACCTGCATTTGTACAAATGAGGGAAAAAAAAAAAAAAGGAGACTCGACAAACATCAATACAGATCAGACAGAACTGGAAGAGCAAAAACCTCTGGAAGTGGGTTTTCTTTTCACAACAACTCAGTGATTACATCACGTTCTGGCACAAAACGGTCATCAGGACACAGAACCTAAATCAACACAATGAAAACAGATTGAGGCTGAAAATAGGAAACCGATGGGGAAGGACAAGGGGGGGATAGCTTATTTTAAATACTGGCAAACAAATCAGTAATTTGTCTATTTCTGCAACACAATGTGTTCTGAATGAACAATCCACTCGTTTGTTTTTTTTAACACGATGAGGAAAGATCCTTTAACCTAAAACCAGTTTCCTCAGATCCCTTTCATGTCGTCCTCTCCTGTTTACAACAGATACAGTACATGTCCTTTACAACTTTAGTTTGAATAATTTCAAAATGGCAACACCAGACCCAGTAAGTCTGCCACATAGGCAGCGAATGAAATGATTCAAATAATCTCATGACAGCAGATTTTATCCTAAACTAACGACTAGCTTCCTTTCACAAAGGTTTCTGCTAAGCAGATTTAAACACAAAAAAGGGTTTTTGGTGTAAATAATAATAAACAAAAGATGACAGAGAACTACATAACTGATAATGCCACTAACGCTTAAAGCAAAGACAGACAGCTCTGCTGTCATAAAAATGGAAACAATCCAACAATCCGTCACCAAAAACACTGAAGATTCGTGCTAAAATCTCCCAAATTAGGAAGGATTTGAACAACTCATTGACTGGAGTAGAACTTCCCTTTACGATCAGTTTTATATTTATTGAACCTACTTGGAGAAGCGGTTTCCCCTAACATCACATATCATTTTTTTTTTTTTTTTTAAAGAACTTCATCACAGCTTTCCGACAGCAAGACCGTTCTCTGATCTGGTTTTCTTTTAAAAGTCTGAAAAAAGTGGAAGCAGCAGCAGCAGAGTAACGTTTGAGGAGTAGCTTCTAGCTGACGGGGAGTGTCTGAGGTATCCGTGTCAATGTTTAACTCTAAAATAAGAAGTTAGCCTTTACATCACTGAAAAACAATGAACTGCTTTGAATGTACAGCCATTATAGAAGCCTGTTTGCTCAAAAACATAATAAAACAGATAATAATCAAAATACAAAAACTAAGACTTGCTAAAACTAGAAATGAAGCGATTTCCACTTTACCTGCTGATTCTGATTTGAATTTATTTGGATTTTTTAAACATTTTTATCTAATAAAAATGTATTGAAGATTCTTTGACAGTGGTCATCATTTTGATTCAACAAAGTAAAGTAATTCTAAAACTATCCATTATTTCTTAAAATTGTTAGCTTCTAATATTTGTCTACTTTTAGCTAAACACAAAAAGTCCATCTGGGAGTTTTAATGATGGGAGTTTTTATTTTTGACGTGTTTTATTGATGATTAGGGGGGAAATAAAAAGTTTGGTTTTTTTTCCTATTGGATCAGCCGATTTGATCTCTGGCTGAATAATCGGTGCATTTCCAGTAAAATTTGCTACTTTTTTCCAACCCAAACTGGCTTACCTCCCAGTCTATTATTAAATCGTTAAAGTTCTTAGCTCATTATTTAAAGTAAGTCACCACTTCAGTTATAAACTAGGACTATATTCGTATAACTTCTAACTCATTGCAGAACCACCTAGCATTTTACATCTGTTTTCTTGCTCAAGTTGCCGTTGGTAAAACCCAGTTTACTTTCACTTATGAATCCCTTGGTGCAGAGACGATAATGATTCAGGCCAGCTGTATCGCACTTTAACCCAAACCAAATGTTTTATCCCGGCGGTGGTGGATGT